CCCCTATGTGGGCTACATAGCACTTGCCGCTATGAATATAAATCGGTGTTGACGTGTAGATGTCTGGGGGTCAGAGTTATCAAGCACGTAAAGTTTGTTCAGATGTGAGCATGTACACTGAACAATAATGTACCCAAACAATAAAATAAATTCCTTTATATTTCATGCCTTGTTGTTATGTGTACATACAGAGGAAGAATGTGATAACAGCACACATTCATCGTTACTGTGTGCTGTACCGCAGTTCTGGTCCATGCATGCAGCAAACTGGAAAGTACTGTCTGTCGAGAGGTCTACGTGAAAAGAGAAGGAAGACATGGCTGGTAGTGTCTTCAGAGTTGTTAAACACCTCAGCGCACTGAAGGAAGCCATCTGACTGTGTGAGGGGCAAGATCGTTGATGTCTGCAGGCAGAGTAGGCCTAGAGCTCTCCTGTCTGATGGTCCACCAATAGCAGAGAAGATGACCCCTTGAGACACAGCCCCCCTCATTTGCATAATGAGGCAGAAATGCATACAAAATTTAAAAAGGACAGGCAGAAATAAATACCAGGGTGAAAATAAATAAGGTAGAAAATACAAAGGAAGAATAAAACAGACAAAAATATTAAAACACACATAAATAAATATTAAAAAATTAGTAATAAATAAAGTGAAGTATAAACAAATAAGGTAATTATAACAAAGGTGAATAAGTAAAGGCACTAATTAAAATATATACATTTATGTCTCCTTGTATATTTAATTATACCTACATTTATTTATTTACTTTATTTTTTGTGTATTTAATTGGATATTATTTATTGAGCATTTATTTATTTCTGTATTTATTCTGACTGTGTCAGGATCGGTCCTCCATAGCGGGGTGGGAGAGTTATCAAGCACGTAAAGTTTGGTTCAGATGTAGCATGTACACTGAAGTTACAACAACTTCCTGTGTCATGGCGAAGACTTGATCTTGACGCCACGCCACGGACACACCCATTGACGAAAACTCGCAAATAGCACAACTTTTCATCTTCAATGCCTTTAGAAGGCACAGCACAAATTTGAAGTCGGTCGGACTAAATCCTAGGAGGAGTTCGTTAAAGTACGAAGTGTGTAAATCATCCAAAATTTGACGTAAAATTCAAAATGGCCGACTTCCTGTTGATTTTAGGGCATCGCTCCAAGAGGCTTTTTTGTGCGTCTGGACAAGATACACGTACCACAGAAAATTCGTGCACGTAGGTGAAACGTGCGGCGGGGCTGCTTCGTTAAAAGTCACTTCCTGTTGCCAGCAGGTGGCGCTATGACTGTGGGTGAATGTCGGCATGTACATGTGTTCAGGGCGGGACTCTCATCCTACATGTACAGTTTGGTCCAGATGTGAGCATGTACACTGAAGTTACGACAACTTCCGTGTCATGGCGAAGAGCTGATCTTGACGCCACGCCACGGACACCCATTGACGAAAACTTGCAAATAGCACAACTTTTCATCTTCAATGCCTTTAGAAGGCACAGCGAAATTTGAGGTCGGTCGGACTAAATCCCTAGGAGGAGTTCGTTAAAGTACGAAGTGTGTAAATCATCCAAAATTTGACGTAAAATTCAAAATGGCCGACTTCCTGTTGGGTTTAGGCTATGGCTCCAAGAGACTTTTTTGTGCGTCTGGACAAGATACACGTACCACAGAAAATTCGTGCACGTAGGTGAAACGTGCGGCGGGGCTGCTTCGTTAAAGTCACTTCCTGTTGCCAGCAGGTGGCGCTATGACTGTGGGTGAATGTCAGCATGTACATGTGTTCAGGGCGGGACTCTCATCCTACATGTACAGTTTGGTCCAGATGTGAGCATGTACACTGAAGTTACGACAACTTCCGTGTCATGGCGAAGAGTTGATCTTTGACGCCACGCCACGGACACGCCCATTGACGAAAACTTGCAAATAGCACAACTTTTCATCTTCAATGCCTTTAGAAGGCACAGCAAATTTGAGGTCGGTCGGACTAAATCCCTAGGAGGAGTTCGTTAAAGTACGAAGTGTGAAATCATCCAAAATTTGACGTAAAATTCAAAATGGCCGACTTCCTGTTGGGTTTAGGCTATGGCTCCAAGAGACTTTTTTGTGCGTCTGGACAAGATACACGTACCACAGAAAATTCGTGCACGTAGGTGAAACGTGCGGGGGGGCTGCTTCGTTAAAAGTCACTTCCTGTTGCCAGCAGGTGGCGCTATGACTGTGGGTGAATGTCAGCATGTACATGTGTTCAGGGCGGGACTCTCATCCTACATGTACAGTTTGGTGCAGATGTGAGCATGTACACTGAAGTTACGACAACTTCCGTGTCATGGCGAAGAGTTGATCTTTGACGCCACGCCACGGACACGCCCATTGACGAAAACTTGCAAATAGCACAACTTTTCATCTTCAATGCCTTTAGAAGGCACAGCAAAATTTGAGGTCGGTCGGACTAAATCCCTAGGAGGAGTTCGTTAAAGTACGAAGTGTGTAAATCATCCAAAATTTGACGTAAAATTCAAAATGGCCGACTTCCTGTTGGGTTTAGGCTATGGCTCCAAGAGACTTTTTTGTGCGTCTGGACAAGATACACGTACCACAGAAAATTCGTGCACGTAGGTGAAACGTGCGGCGGGGGCTGCTTCGTTAAAAGTCACTTCCTGTTGCCAGCAGGTGGCGCTATGACTGTGGGTGAATGTCAGCATGTACATGTGTTCAGGGCGGGACTCTCATCCTACATGTACAGTTTGGTCCAGATGTGAGCATGTACACTGAAGTTACGACAACTTCCGTGTCATGGCGAAGAGTTGATCTTTGACGCCACGCCACGGACACGCCCATTGACGAAAACTTGCAAATAGCACAACTTTTCATCTTCAATGCCTTTAGAAGGCACAGCAAATTTGAGGTCGGTCGGACTAAATCCCTAGGAGGAGTTCGTTAAAGTACGAAGTGTGTAAATCATCCAAAATTTGACGTAAAATTCAAAATGGCCGACTTCCTGTTGGGTTTAGGCTATGGCTCCAAGAGACTTTTTTGTGCGTCTGGACAAGATACACGTACCACAGAAAATTCGTGCACGTAGGTGAAACGTGCGGCGGGGGCTGCTTCGTTAAAGGTCACTTTCTGTTGCCAGCAGGTGGCGCTATGACTGTGGGTGAATGTCGGCATGTACATGTGTTCAGGGCGGGACTCTCATCCTAGATGTACAGTTTGGTCCAGATGTGAGCATGTACACTGAAGTTACAACAACTTCCTGTTTCATAGCGAATCATCGACGCCACGGACACGCCCATTGACGAAAACGCGCAAATAGCACAACTTTTCATCGTCAATGCCTTTAGAAGGCACAGCAGAAATTTGACGTCGATCCGACTAAATCCCTAGGAGGAGTTCGTTAAAGTACGAAGTGTGTAAATCATCCAAAAATGGCCATAAAATTCAAAATGGCCGACTTCCTGTTTACTTTAGGCTATGGGTTCTTGAGGCTTTTTTGTGCGTCTTGATACGATACATGTCCCCAGAAAATTTCGTACATGTAGGTTGAACGTGAACGAGGGGCTAATCATTTCCAATTTTCTAGGTGGCGCTAGCGAGTCATTTTGCCACGCCCATGTGCGAAACTTGTAGAATACGAAATTTTTCACCGGTTCTGACATGTTTGCAAATTTTGGTGAGTTTTCGAGTATGTTTAGGCCATGTCATTTGGGCCTACTTTGCAGAAAAAAAAAAAAAAAAAAAAAAAAAAATAATCCGAGCAATTTCAATAGGGACCTCGCACGGTCGTGCTCGGGCCCTAATAATAATCCGAGCAATTTCAATAGGGACCTCGCACGGTCGTGCTCGGGCCCTAATAATCCGAGCAAATTCAATAGGGACCTCACACGGTCGTGCTCGGGCCCTAATAATCCGAGCAAATTCAATAGGGACCTCGCACGGTCGTGCTCGGGCCCTAAATATAATCCGAGCAAATTCAATAGGGACCTCACACGGTCGTGCTCGGGCCCTAACAAGCTTTATTAAAATGTATTTGACCTTGTACAACACAAGCATGTGCAAGAAAACATCTTTATTACAGTGGAATAACACTATTACATTTCCACTCATGTAGGTACCTTTTGTAGGGCACATGAAGTTTATTGGTTGGGTTAAGGTTGGGGATAGTTGCAGATAAAAAACAACCTCAAACTCTATTTTGGGAGCTGCGTCTTGTCACTGGGACAAAAGTATCAGGCGACTGTTTGTATGTGTTTTGTTATTTATTCCTGTTCCTAAAGCTCAAGTTGTGTAACTGTTTGTAATGTTATGTTACGTGTAAGAGCAACCAAACAGGACAAGAATTCAGACAATAGAACATTACAGTATGTTTGCAAAGCCATATACATAGCATAGCAAAAGCACATTAACATGAAATTGAAAACAACACATCATGGACATCAGTCAGAGGGTAGGTACTCACAGGCCACCAGGTCATTGAACGGCCAGCCAAGAAGTACCCCCCCACAGTGCTGCGATTGGCTCTCACTGATGACTGAGAAGGAGAAAGAGGTAAAGGTTAGACCAGCAGTACACTAAAAAAAAAAATAATGTATGTTGTGTCACTGCAATATCACTTTTACAAACAAAAAAACTTTTCTGTGCTGTCACACAAATATAAATCAGTTCCTGGTGACTTGGACAGAAATCAAACCAAGGATGAGCTCCCAAAAATGTTGTGTTTATTATTCTAATATTCTTGTAACTATTTGTACTCTGGGATGAATGTATTGGAGGCTGGGGGGAGGAGACTCAGTATGGGGGATCCATCTCTAGGGTAGAGTCACCCGAGCTGATTACGGGCCCCCAAAGAATCAACAGATTTAGATGGAGCTGTGCTGAGCCGTGAGCTTGACAAAGGTTAAGATTGCTGTGGATATAGTATGCCTGGGAAGACCAGCAACCGAGGACTTGAATGGTTTGAGATACTGGCACTGCACTGATGTAGAAAGAATGGCTGGAATAGTGTTCTGAAGATATGCCAGAAAGACTGACTACAATTGAGTGGCAGTTCCCCTTTTTTAGACTAGGTCTTGTGGTACTGATGTGTTTGGTCAGCTGCTCGTTTAGTTAGGTCTACACATAAAATGTGGATGGGGAATGAAGCTCCCAGCTGCTCAGTTTTACTTCTAGAGTGTGAATACAAGTTTTCTCTCTGAAAGAAAACTTTTATGAGTGTGGAATGGTAGTGTAGAGGTAAAGAAATCTGCTTTGTCTGCCAAAAGTTAGTAGTAAGTAAGTAAGTAAAAAATAATAGGGTCCGTTTCAGTGAATTTTGAGAAAACACCAGATGTCTGGGCAAGACTTCCCATTGGAAAGCAAAATCCAAGATGAGATCTCATAGTTGTTTCCTTCTTTTCTTCTAGACACAAATGAGCTACTTTTAATACCAAGGTGAGACCAAAGGCATTTTCTACCACTTCTCAAATTCATCTTAGGAGAAACAACCACATAAAATTTTATTTATGTCTGACTCTGATCAGAACAAGAGATCTTAAATAAGTCTAATTTAAGTCTTCTGAACATTGGACCATGAGATCAGAGAAAGAGCTCAAAGAAAACTCAGCTATGACTCCGGGATCTCATGATTCTTCTCAAATATGTCTCAGTTTTCTCATATTGTCCTCAGGAGCAAAAAACTCATCTCTGTCTTACTCTGATCAAAAGATGGGATCTCTACAGTATCTTAACTAAGTGTAATTTCAGTCCAGAATGTGGATCAGAAAAAAGCTTCAAGATATTTCTCAGTTTTGTCTTAGTGACCCCACTATTTTCTTTTTATGGGGGTTTGTACTTTTACTCCCCTTAATTTCAAATCCTTTCAAACCCTATTTATTGTTAATTATTATTATTATTATTAATTATTACAAGTTACTGAGAAAAATAAAATAAATTTTGACATTGAAAATAATGCACTTTCAAATGTCATGTTTTCCAATTTCTTAAGTTCACAGCCAGCATAACTGGAACAGCCAATACTTTGACATGATGTTTAGAGATTAATTAATTAAGGACCGAATGCACTCAAGAACTGAGATACATACATATATACATGTATCTGTCATACAGAATAAGCACTTTTACTTTTGATACTTAAGTACATTCACTATGGAATACTTTTATACCTTTACTTGAGTAGAATTTTGAGGACCTTAATTGTGTATATGGTATTTCTCCTCTTTTAAGTAAAGGAACATTGTACTCTATTTACTTCATTGTTAATTTTAGCAGGATGGTGCAGCGGCAGTGTTGCTGCCCTTTGAACAGCAAGAGCAGGGTTCAAATCCAGCTCAGGTCAAGCCTCCAGCACAGTTCTCCAAGCATAGAAAGCAATGTTGTCACGCTCTGCCGGTTGGCCATCCTTTGTGTTGCACTTTTGAGTTTAGTATCTGCCTTAGTATGTTGAGTTTTGGGTTCTGTCCTGTCTAGTGTCCAGTATCTGTTATATAGTCTGCTTGTCATGTCAAGTCTCTGTTTTCCTCTGCTCTCTCTCTCTGCCTCATTAGTCTCATGTCTGTCACCTGTGTTGCTCCCGCCCTGCTCGTTAGTCCCTGTGTATATACCTGGTGTTTCTGTCTTGTCCTTGTCCGGTCATTGTTCATTTTACCCCCCAGTCTGTCGTGTGTGTACTCTCTGCCTGCCTGTAACCAGCCTTGCTTGTCTTGTCTTGTCTTGTCTTGTCTAGTCTCGTATCCCTGTACTTTTGGATTTTGGATTTCTGTTTTTCAGCCACTCACCTGTAAGTGTGCTCGCTTTTGGTTATATTAAAACCCTTCTTTGACTATACCTGCTCCGCTCTGTGTCCTGCGTTTGGGTCCTCCAACCTGCCTCCACACCACGATCGTGACAAATGTAATATAATCAAGCTCACAAACACCTCCCCAGAGCTCCCAACAGATCTTTAGGAGCAATAAGCAAGACATTAATGAACTCAATAAGTTACAATCATGAGATCTCAACTGTTACTTTCATTTATCCTATTGTAATCTCAATTCAGTATCTATTTGTCTTACCTAAGTCTCAAAACCTCAATCTCTCTTTATTTCATCCTTTTCTCCTAAGGGGTTTTAGGAGCAACAATTCAGATTGGAGTGATCTCTAAAAGATATACTATTGAGATCTTAGTGTTTTCTCAAGAGTTAAAGAAAAGACTATTCTGAGCAAAAGAGTTTTCTTCTGGGTTGTAGTGCTAGTGATGTCTGCTTTAGAGAGCCGAGCTCCATGGCCTGCCAGATGGATGAGGAGGATGGCATGGCCGATTGTTGCGTATTGCATGGTCGCCACGCCTTATGAATGTGTGTGTAAATGGGTGAATGCAATTAAGCTTGATGCAGAGTCTGTTGTTGAGAAAACTGAGAGAAACTGGACAGGATGGGTTGACAGTGATAAGAGGTATGGTTGAGGCGTGACCCTGCTCCTGACCTTAAGTTAACTTATTTTCTGGTAAATGGAAATACACCATCATAATGGCTATGCTCATAAAAGAACCAAAAGAGCCAGATGGAGGTTAGCACCTTTCAGGTAGGTTACATTATTTGTAATCCATGTATTGAAACATGTTTAGCATGTACAGAAATTTGCAATCATAAAAATGACTTGAAACACTGTGCCCTGCAACTTTTTGAGCCCAGTTGGTTCTTTGTCAGGTAGTATCCAGGTTTTGTCATATTTCCTCTGAGCATGTTTTAGGATAAGCATTTGTGGAATAAAAAATAGTAAAATGTGACTTAAAGTGTAAGCTCATAGAGGTTTAACACAGCACAGTATTACGATAAGCTCTTCACCTGAGAAAGGTCTTAAGATATTTTAAAGATTTTATTAAAAATAATGATGAAGGCGTAAGTGTAAAATGAGTTGAGCCACTTTCAGATCTTACCCAGATCCCAACCACCATGACAAAGACAAAGTAGATGACAACAACGGCGATGTCAGCAGCATCCAAACTTAGACCTGTGCTGGAAGGAGCTGCTGTGGTGAACCCAGGGGAGCTGCTGCCTGCATGCCAAGTACAGAAAAGAACTTCACTATGGTAGCATTTAGTTCTCTATCCCTATACTGAAAACAGCTCTATAATCATTGAATTAAATAACAACAAAACATGGCAACAGCTAATAAATTTATTATACTAGTGCAGTGCCCGTACACAGGGGTCAATGTGATGCCTTCCTACGCTTTTAGATCCAGTGTGCCTTACACCTCATCAAGAAAGAATTAAGTCCTAAATTTTAAAGTCTTGGTTTTTCTTGAAATAGTAAGCTTCATAATACTTGGCAGTTGAGCAAGGACACCACATACACAATAAACATTTCGCAGAGATTAAATAAACTATTATTTTAAAACATGAGATAAATGTGAACTTAATGAATGAAACAGTTATTCATTGCAAAACACATTTTACATTAGGAATAAAAAACACTATTTGAGCCAATATAGGAAAAAGTTGGTCGAGCAAGCTCCTCAAAATTGTCAAGTTAGCATATCATGAGGTTCTTATTTTAATCTGCAAAAGAAACACGTGAGTTCTCAATAGTAACTTAGTATATATTGTAATATTATGTAGACATTATTATGTTAAACATATTATGATGTAATCGGCCACACTAGCATACCCCGCCCTCGCTGTTGCAGAGCACACTGAAACAACACATCAATGGCGGAGATACTGCTAGATATTCAGCACTTCTTTAGAACATCATAAAACTCTTACAAGTTGAGAGGATGAAGAGGGACTATTCATCTAGGCACGAGAAGAGACACTGACAACTGTGGGGACTGCGGCCAAGTAAACCTGTGTTCTCTCCTCTCAAAGTCTGATGTTAGCAGATAACAGTAATGTTTGGTTAATGTGCAGCTGCAGTGAATCTCTATTCTGTCTGTCTGTCCAGCAAACCCAGCTGAGCAGTGCATGGCTTTGTAGCAGGTCTACGTATGATTTTTAATAAACTTATGAAAATTAATATTTCTAATATTTAATTATACAATTATTCACTAGTGATCAATTAGTTAATAATCGCTCAATTATCTTAAATCAATCAGTCAGTCTCTGATTTAAAGTTCTTCATGACAGGGACTTGGAGTTAGACAATACACACACACACTTCCTGTGATTACGGTGAAATATATTAGATAACTTAGGTGAATTAAATCAAAGAAATAAACAATGGCTAAACAAACATGATGTAAACAACAAGAATGTTGAGTTCTATTGTAAATTGGGTTCTCTTGTGGGGAGAATTTGATTCATAAGGGCAACTAATAAACGCAAGCTATGATAATAACTCAGTTTGGCTATGACTTTTAAGGGTTAAAGATAATCGATTAACAAACTATTGGACAACACTGATCACAGAATGCAGGGATTTAGCCTTATTGCTTGTCATTTCTCCCAGCCGGGTTGCTGGTCGGCGGCCTCACGCTGGCTGAGTTCCGTGCGTTCTCAGTTAGGACAGCTCACAGCCGTCAGCCAGCCGCTTTCTCTGCCAGGGAATTGCTCCAGAGGTCCGTCTGGGTCGGCTTATTGAAGAAAACTTGGAGCGGGAGGTCTTTAACCCTGGCTCGGGTTAAAGGTTTGATTGTCCTTACTGCTGGCAAGACGGGCCCATGAGGCTCCGGTGGGAGCAGTGTAAGTTAGCTCGACGGAATAAAGCTTAAAAGAACGTTCTTGAATTAAAATTGTGTAACTTAACGGTCTGATAACTTTTAACAAACAAAACAAAAGAAAATAAAAAAACAAGTAAGTTGCTGCAAACGAGGGAAAAGCCGAGGTCGCGGCGCTTCGCGTGTGTGGCTTGAAAAGAACAAAAGAGTTTTCACGGCAAGCCGGGTCGAACTTCTTTTAGGGCGTTGCTGGGAGACAGAGCACACTGAGTGTGCAAGGGAAGAGCGAAGAGGAGCCAAGAGAGCGAGCAAACTTGTGTCGCTGCTTTTGTTTATTGGGGCGTGTTCCCAGGGGGCTTGGCTTTGTTCCCCTGAGGGCTTGTTTCTGGTTTGTCTTTTAACTTTTAATATGTCTATTCTAAAACCTATTTGCGCGTATTGTAATCAAATATCTTCCCACTGTCAAACTGTTATACCATTCTTAGTTTTAAGCATTTGATAAAAAGGAAAACAATTGTCAGTAGTTAAACCTTAAGGTTAGCATTTCATAGGAATCACATTAGATGAAAGGAACTTTACTAGCTTCCTGGATAATATTGCTGTTACATATTCTTACTTAGAGAATATAAGCAAGTTACACGAACATGGCATCAGATTACGAACGGGTAAAAACAGAGTGACATTTATACATTAAAATGGCATTTCAGAACAATGGCATGTAATACTTATTTTGTCCTCTTGGGTGAACTCTGGTTCCATGAGTAGACTTAAGATAGCAAATGATTATTTCTTTAAACAATCATTTGGCCAGGAGCTGGGAAAATTAGTTATTTAACATTAAATTTGAGCTGGAAAATTAATCAAGTAGCATAGGATAACATTTCTTTATATATCATTTCTAAGTATAAGAGGTCAGAAGGAGCTGTAAATAAAGCATTAGTTAAAAACATCACTTAAACAAATGTCAGGAATCATTGCTGAAAATTAAAACACTGCGAAATTAACTTATATGGATTCTTCTTTTCAATAGCAACAAGACAGTGACATAACTACTTTAATGGAGTGGAGAGACCTGTTTAGTAACTTAACAAAGATTGTTTAATTAAACAAGGTAATGCTTTGAGTTTGAGGAACACAAAGGAATTCGGACTGTGTACTTTCTCTGGCACCTGGAGGACTGGGGCGCTAGCGAGTCATTTTGCCAATCATGTGCAAGACCCATAAAATACGAAAGAAAAAAAAATCTTCAGTTCCAAGAGGGTCCTCGCACTTTTTGTGCTCGGGCCCTAACTATTTGCATACCATAGATAGTACACAACAAAAATCATCCTTATTATACACATTGGTAAATAAATATTGAAAGCAAGGCTTTTATCTTGCCCAGGCTGAAGGTAAAATGATAATATAGCAGTTGTACTACAAACCCAGGCAGACTCGGCAATGCCCAATCCTGTTAAGAGTTGCTGAATTTCCTGTTTTAACTGGCTCATTTATAGTTTGTAATTCTGCTTTCTCCTGTGTTCCTGTCACAAAATAAGGCTTTTTGTAAAAACAGTTGTGCAAAGAGCCTACGAGCATAAAACTGAGTTAAAAGTTTCATACCTGCAGTGAGACTGGAAGACATATTGACTCCAATCTTCCAGATTGTGTTGACTTCTTACAGATACTCTGTCATCCAGTGCTTCTCCTATGTATAAGTTCTTCTGGCTGTGTAACAGAGTTAGGTGATCCTGCTGGTAAACTCAACAGAGGTATGTGAATCTGTGCAGTCAACCTGAAGCTTAATTATTAATCACTTTGTCAAAGTTCACGGCTTAGCTTTTAGATTTTTTTTGCCTTTACTGCACAGCTGTAAAACTGTGACAACTGTAGATAGAGACAGGAAAGGCTACAGAATGCTGTGGTAAGGACTCAGGGAAGAGTACACTCTCTACCCGGTGAGCTACATGGGTGCCCTGTGGTGTATGTATGTTGACAGGCAGCTATACGCCTTCCCTCATCTGGACTTTGAACAGCAGGTTTATTGAAAGGAACACTGGGTGAAACTAAAGAAAAGACAAATTACAAATCTTCCACATAGGCAAAGTTTTTGATTTAGTTTTACCACAAATATGAGCAATATAATATGTAGCAGAGTAGTACAGTATGTTGTTCGAGAGAGAGAGATACAAGGAGTGCCACAAGGAGCCACTAGGCTGCCAAACAATGCCACAGTAAGGCCATTAGCTGCCACAGTCTTTTTTTTCTAAATTTGTAAAAAGGAGGATTTGATTTAGATAGAGTAATGTTCAGTTAACTGCTAATTGTTTATACTTGTTGTGAATGAAAAACTGTTGCTGCTGCTGTTGAAACTTCAGATGTCAGATGTATGAATGAATAATGCTGTAGTTTTCACGGGTGGGAACACAGAAAGGATTGAACCAGGCCCAGAGACAGGAAACAGGATTGACACGAAAGTAGTTTTATTATAACAATTAACAGAGTTAGGAAACAGGGAATTCAAGGAAACATACAATAAACAATGTGCAAGAACAGAGGCAGTTAAAGGTAACACTGTACCAAACATGAAGATCAGGCACAGAAAAACAGAGGAACAGAGACTATGGGTTGTGGGTGCAACAAATTATCAAATTAAAATGTATTAATTCTAATGGCAATTGTAAATTCAGCATTAAAAAAACTAATATTGTACTTTATCTCCATGAGGTTGACTATATTTACTATTTACTTTTTAAATCCAACAACAAAAGGATGTGGAAACTGTCAAAATATGGTTAATATCTTTATATAATTTACTAAAAGGCAACGTTTTCATTATTTGTGTCTTCTTATATATTTGTATACTGTTCTGTATACTTATTTATGACCTATGTACACTTTATTCCTATTTTTGCAATAAAGATTTAAGGAGGGGAAAAAAATTCTTCCGACACCACATGAACCACGCTCATTGGCTCTTGTGATAAATAATGTGTGGTCCTCTATTTGTCCAAATATCCCTTTTCTCCTTACTTTTAACAAATCAGACTGCTACAACTACTACTAATAGAAGTAGTCCTACCAAGCGGGAAGCTTCCGGTCTGCAAACTGATGTGAACGCAAAAGTCCCTTAAACCTGCATTCTATCAAACGGCCAGAAGGGGGCGTCTCTTCTGATTGCAAAAAGAAGTCCGGCTCCATTAGAAATTAAAGCTGCAAGCAGCGTTGGGCGGGCCCTCGCACTTGTAGCACGTCCGCATCTGAGCCGGCCGAGTTGCACATTCTGGAGCTCTGCCGGTGCGGCTGTGAATTTCCTATGTGGTTCCATTGCCGCATGAAGGTGCTATATGTCACTTCTTGTGTCCCCTATGTGGCGCTACATAGCACTTGCCGCTATGAATATAAATCGGTATTGGTGTGTAGATGTCTGCGGGGTGGGAGAGTTATCAAGCATGTAAAGTTTGTTTCAGATGTGAGCATGTACACTGAACAATAAAATAAATTCCTTTTATATTTCCCTGCCTTGTTGTTTATGTGTACATACAGAGGAAGAATGTGAGAACAGCACACATGTCATCGTTACTGTGTGTTAGAGCATGGGAGAACAGTGGATACTTTTAATACAGCCCACACCCCTAATACTGTGTAACTATAACAAGTAGAGAACAGAAGAAAAAGATGTTCTTTCTTTACAACTGTCTGCATAGCTTATTCATATTGTGTAATGAATGAAAATAAATAGGCCTACTAGGCTCCTCTCTACTTTGACATTTAAGATTAGCTTGTTTGATCCACCTTCATACACATGTGACATTACTGTACAACTTGAGAAAGGTGAGTTGTTTTCTGCTCCAGCCTGCCTAAAAGAAAAGCCTTTTTGGGATTAAATGGACTTTATTAGCTGCTGCAGTGCAGGATGAACTCAGAACAGACCCATTTCTCACCTTATTATTCTAAATCATGCAACGAAGAAGAAGAAATGCATAATAAATCCTGGGACAAAATCTGTCCACAAATACTGTACAGCATGTAGTCTAATGAACAAGACTTGTGTTATAGCTGACTTGGGCAGTGAAATGTTTAATTTTTTTAATTCATGTGGTCATAGTTGTCACAACTCAAATCAGAATATAAGAAGAAATGTTTTATACCACCTCAAGAAGGCTTCCTATCAGAAAGGTAGGAAGGTATTTCAAATGTACAACTGCAGTCCTGAAATCTAAGTAAAGTAATTTCCCTGACATTTTGTGTTTACTTTAATAGACGCATGTAACAGGTTTTATACTTCCTGTGAGTATAATCCAATCAATCTTATTTCATACTGTATATCCGATGTGTAATTGATAAATTGTGTTGTACGTCGTGCTCGCATCTCAGAGAAGACTCTGACTGCAACATGCGTCTTTGTAAAGAGAGAAACGGACAGAAAAAGTCTCTAACTCTGCCTGTCAGCTCGCTCTGCTCCGTTAAAACTGAATTTACCATACAGAATGAATACGAGTGCACCAGATTTAGCTGCAGCCAGCTGACCGTGTGCTTCTTCCTATACCGCAGTTCTGTGTCCATGCATGCAGCAAACTGAAAGCACTGTCTGTTGGGCATCTACGTGAAAAGAGAAGGAAGACATGGCTGGTAGTGTCTTCAGAGTTAAACACCTCAGCGCACTGAAGGAAGCCATCTGACTGTGTGGGGCAAGATCGTTGATGTCTGCAGGCAGAGTAGGAGCTCTCCTGTCTGACTGGTCCACCAATAGCAGAGAAGAGACCCCTTGAGTTATCAAGCACGTAAAGTTTGGTTCAGATGTGAGCATGTACATGTAAGTTACAACAACTTCCTGTGTCATGGCGAAGACTTGATCTCTGAGCCACGCCACGGACACACCCATTGACGAAAACTCGCAAATAGCACAACTTTTCATCTTCAATGCCTTTAGAAGGCACAGCACAATTTGAAGTCGGTCGGACTAAATCCTAGGAGGAGTTCGTTAAAGTACGAACTGTGTAAATCATCCAAAATTTGACGTAAAATTCAAAATGGCCGACTTCCTGTTGATTTTAGGGCATTGCTCCAAGCAGCTTTTTTGTGCGTCTGGACAAGATACACGTACCACAGAAAATTCGTGCACGTAGTGAAACGTGCGGCGGGGGCTGCTTCGTTAAAAGTCACTTCCTGTTGCCAGCAGGTGGCGCTATGACTGTGGGTGAATGTCGGCATGTACATGTGTTCAGGGCGGGACTCTCATCCTACATGTACAGTTTGGTGCAGATGTGAGCATGTACACTGGAGTTACAACAACTTCCTGTGTCATGGCGAAGACTTGATATTGACGCCACGCCACGGACACGCCCATTGACGAAAACTCGCAAATAGCAAACTTTTCATCTTCAATGCCTTTAGAAGGCACAGCAGAAATTGAGGTCGGTTGGACTAAATCCCTAGGAGAGTTCGTTAAAGTACGAAGTGTGTAAATCATCCAAAATTTGACGTAAAAGTCAAATGGCCGACTTCCTGTTGGGTTTAGGCTATGGCTCCAAGAGACTTTTTTGTGCGTCTGGACAAGATACACGTACCACAGAAAATTTGTGCAGGTAGGTGAAACGTGCGGCGGGGGCTGCTTCGTTAAAGGTCACTTCTGTTGCCAGCAGGTGGCGCTATGACTTGGGGTGAATGTCGGCATGTACATGTGTTCAGGGCGGGACTCTCATCAACATGTACAGTTTGGTCCAGATATGAGCATGTACACTGAAGTTACAACAACTTCCTGTTCATAGCAAATCATCGACGCCACGGACACGCCCATTGACGAAAACTCGCAATAGCACAACTTTCATCGTCAATGCCTTTAGAAGGCACAGCAGAAATTTGACGTCGATCCGACTAAATCCCTAGGAAG